GATGACCTCTGGGGTCCCTTCCAACCTTAAGCATTCTATGATTCTATAAATAACATCTGCGATAGCAGTGGGTTTGGGGCCTGCTCTGCCTTTTGGAGGGAACGTGGCTCCTTATGGATGCCCAGCAGATTTTACCCTGCCCCAAATTCCAGATGAAATGGAACAGACATAATGTGGTAGGAACTTGACATAGGAATTCGGAGTCAGCATCTACTTCCAATCCCTCTTTACTATAATTTGATGTTTACAGGAAGATATATGTTATCAAAATGATGCAGARATAATATGATTTTTAACTGAAAAAAAAATCTTCTACTAAAATATAAGGAATGGAGGGGTTAGATGGAGGTTAATGTTTCCATATTTACAGAAAAAAAGGTGATAGTTACCTCATTAAGCCATCTTTACTGTTGATTAAAATAGATATTTTTATTTCTTAGTTTTCCTGTCATTACTTATAAAAACTAATGCTAAAGTAATGGAGCTGTTGCAACGGCTGTGAAAGGGAATGATTAACTCCTGAGTTACTAGGACCCTGGTAAGTCCGATAGAATGCAACGTTAAGAAGGATATCTAAAGATACGCACTAGTAAAGTTTTACTGTTTGATTTTTAATCTTGGAAAAATTGTTCTAAAAAGAAAAAATACTGCCTGATTACATTTTACAAAATAACAACCATTAAAATAGAAATCTACCCTGCTCAGACCTCGTTTCAAAAAGAAGCTTCTCCTGCACTGGGGGAGAGCAGGTGGCCTCTGAGCCACGTCGTGTCCCCGGGGCTGGGCCAATAGGCCTGGTGTGCAGGGTTGGGAGACCTGTTTGCACTGCCCAAGCAAACCTGCTCTGYGTGCAATATACAGGTATCTTCACAGCTTGTTGTAGTTATAACTTGAAACCGAATACGAATCTTTGTAGAGCTGCAGCTCGCGGAGAAGTTCGAGCACGTTTGTTTCATTGGTGGTTGCTGAGGAGTGCTTGAAGCGCTGCAGTTCCACAGGAGCCCGGTTGCATTGACTTCCAAGAGGATCTCCTTGCTTGTTCAACTGGTTTAGGATTTGTAATCTGGAAATTAACAGCTCTTGCACAATGAGGCTTTATTTAGTTCCAAGTTCTTGATGGAAACAAACCATCGCGACTAAAATGTTCCGATATGAAATTGGTTTAAGAAATGAGGTTTCAAGAATACTTGTCATACTGGGTGTGCAGGGTGCTGACCTTTCAAAAATTAGCCAAACATTTCTTTAGTGTTTTCTTTACTCTCAATTTCATTTTGATAAAAACCAAAATATTTGATAAATCTTTTCCAACTGTATTGCAATTTCAGCTTAGGTTATTTAGTGCTTGTATAGGCCAAAGCACAACCTGTGGGTTTATTTGCACCTTTCTCCTGCTTCCTCACCTTCTTGCAGTGGCACCTTGATTCCAAGGGACAGAGTTACCTCAAATGACTTGAAAATAACTGATTAGTTGGCATGTGCTGCAGTTAACTGTAAGTGTTAACAAATAAGGGATTACCCATCACCTTGACATCTTTAGATGTAGGGTCTAGTGACTTCTTATACAACTTGTATGCAAGTTCCAGACTATTGCATAATATGATTTTACAGCACGGTTTATATATTTTTCATATAATATATATGTATGTGGTGTGAGTGTGCATATATACGTGTCTGTTGTGTTTTGCTTCTAGCACATGCTCTCCAATCCACAATGCTGACTTATTCTGAACTCTGGACCTTAATTTAAAAGCCCTTCCGTGACTCCTCTTGTCATAGAAATGATCATTTTCTTTGACTGACTTAACTACCTACAGGTTTTATTTCATACAGTTACTTTTTAAGTGTGTCAGAAATCRTAGGTTTTGGTTTTATTTACTGTATCTCAATGGTTTTGCATTTTATTGCCTATATTTTAGTGCCTGTTTTGCATGTATCATGTCCAAATTGATCCTATTTGTAAAAATAGGGACCCTTTATCATGGTCAATAACACTTCAACCTAAGAAGCAGTTTTTCTGGTTTACTGCCCTTCTTTTTGGAAACACTTTGGTTACAATTGATTCTGTTCTACCTTCTCTGCTCTGAGTCGGTCACATCTGCTTGTGGCTTGTAAATCAAGCACCTTGGGCTAAAATCAGCCAAATCTACGCCTGAAGAGTGTAGAAAACATGTCATTCATTGCTACTTATCCTTAGGATTTTTCACCTGGCCMACCTGGTGTAGGTAGGACAAATATATACATATATGGGGTATGTCTGTAAGTGCGGTTTATCTTTTYGAAGCTGTTTTTATTACCTAGGATTGTAGAGAAGTGTATGTTTTGGAAAACTAAGTTTTGTAATAAATAGTGTTGGTAGTGGAAGTTGKGACGTAATATTATAGACCTGATTGAAGGTAGCCCTTAAAAGGAAGGAGAATCATGCCTTGATTATATGCCTTGATGATAAATACTTGAGCAGTATTTATCTAGTGGGCTGTTTTCATTAACCTCAATATGGCAAACGAAGCTTGGAAAACTTGCTTTCAAAAGAGCTATATTTTCAGGAGAAATGTATTTTGCCCTTTAAAATATGGAAAAGTGGATTAAATGCATGCTAATTTTGAGTTCTCCATGAATTTGACTTCTGATCTGAGGTTGTGTCTGTATCTCTATTCTGCATTCTTCGAGGCTGGCTTACTATAATATTTTTCACTACTTCAGGCAGCAGATGCGCCTTGCCTATAGATTTGTGTCAATGTTGATGCCCCGTATACTAAATACGTCCCCTATATAGTGCTCTGTTGACACTGTTCTCTGCTGCTTAGTTTCAGACAACAAAGTCATCACATACGCTGCAGTGTGGAGGATGCCGAAGGAATTGGAATCAGGCAGCCACGAATCCCCCGACGATCCATCAAGCAGCACTCAAGCCCTGGAGCTGCTCTGTCACCTTGACAACACAGCCCATGGCAATATGGCCTGGTAGGATTCTGCATATTTTATACTCCCAGAAAAAAGCCTAAAGGATGGACCTGTGCTGTGAGTCTTGTGCACATTTATATTGTACAGACCATGCTATCAGCTTTAAACTATTCTATCTAAAGAAATAGGACAAATTGGGTTTTTGGTCCCAGATGTTTCAGAGATTAAAAACATTTATTATAGTCCTGCAAACACATATGGAGCAACAGCCTGTGTGCTCTTGTAATGTTCTTCTCCCCACCTGCCCCATCTATTCTTTGCTGCAGAAAGGTATTATATTCAGCATTTCAATCTTTATATAGAATATAAATTGATATTACACTTTCATCTACTTTTTTTTTGTTTGCACTCAAATGATTTAGCAYAAGTGCAAGTGATTTATTCTTCAAGATAAGAAATCATTATATGGTGTCCATTTACCACTCTTTTCTGTTGGGTAAAAATAGACAAGGAGGACGTAGATGTCGCAAAGGGTATTTTGGAGGTGCTTTCCCTTCTGTTTAACACAAGGTGAAATTTGCTCGTTGTGTCTGAAAACTCTTTGCTTTGTGGGACACGTGTGTGTGACACATTCTGGCTGCTTCCTGAAGGAGCAGAGGCAGCGAAATGCTGACTCCCTCAGTTCAGCCGCTGCAGGGCTGCTCAGTGTCTGCTTGGGACCACCTGGTCCTGCCCCACCAGCGAGAGCGTTGGAATTGCAGGAGCATTTTCCACRGTGGTCTTGGGAATGTGTCTGTTGGAAAGGGGGAGAAAATGGTTGTGGAAGCTGTGCCATCCCATCACTGCGTCAAAGAATTACCATAATAGCAACACAGGTTTTCTCTAAATGAAGTGTGACATCTGTAGCGTGTGTGGAAGTATTTTGTTTACTGGCATCCCTAGCACAGATGATTCACAGTGTTCAGGGATATCTGTGWTGCAGTTGAGACTGGCCTGCAATTGAAAGATAAAAAGCAAAGGCTCTTTGAGATTTTCTGGCTGTGTGCTCAGGCAGCCAGTGTCTTTCTTAGTGCTTCACCTGCTCATGCTTGCCCTGTTTTCCCTGTTCTGTCTTATTTTTGTCCTCTCTGCTTTCTTTTCTTTAAGGTGCAACTTCCTCTTATGTTCTGCTCCCTTAGGAAAGCCTTAGAGTTAAGACATTTTATCAGGGACTTCCTGTATCTAGGAATATCTATCTAGTATATCTAATATGCCTAGTGTACTAGGAACAGTGATTTTTTTTTTCCTCCTTCAGTTCTTATATGCAGAGTATTGAGTTTTGTTCAGTTATTTATTTACCATTAAGAAAATCTCATAATGATTTTCCTTATTCTTATGTCATCACTTCTATGGAATGCTAAGTTTGAGTGGCATTTCATATTAAAAATGAGCATGGACAGATCAGTTAATATCACTTGTRTTCTGTGAGCCAAGATCAAAAGCCATTTCAAATCCATTGTGACTAAAATTCTAAACTTTCCTCACGTGTGTGTGAATGCTGTGTGCCGCCTCCTCCACAAACTTTGAAATATATTTGACCGAACATTTAAAGATGATCTCATGTCCAAGCTGCTACAGGGAGGTGAGTAGGAAAAGTCTTATTCAGCTCCATTTCATCTGCATTTCATGAGTTACTGTGTTTAAAAACAAGAATTATTGTATACATTGAGTTGCTAATGGTGTGTACTGCTGCTGAGCTTTGAATCTGGGGCTAAACCCAATTTTTACAGGAGGGAGGAAAGTGGGAAGCCTGAAGAACTTGGATTTTATGTAGCTGATATCAGTCTGAGACCAAAGAAGTAGAAAAGGGGTGGATATGGTTAGAGTGCTGGTGGACAGAGGAGATGACTCTGGTAAGCTTCTCTGCTAACCTAAGCTACATTTTCTTCTTGTATTGCACTAGATCAATCTTAAATATGGGYTACAAGTATTATCAAATCTAAAAGAAACTAGAAAGGAAGAAATTCTCTTTAAAAGTCCGTTGTAAGGGTTGGGAGGTTGTTRTCTCTGGAGGGTTATACCAGCACGTTTGAATTTACAAACAAAAGAGGTGCTAGGAATAGGTTATTTGCACAGGTATCTGGAAAAGATTGGGAGTGCATATGTATTGTTAAACCCACACTACTTCTTGTCAAAGGCTGCCAAGTTTCTTCCCAGGAGATGTCTAGTGAAGAACTTTGTTGTGTATCCAGGAGCAAAGTGGGACTCAAATTTACTTATCGCTACATTATATTATCCTTTAAAGTGGTGTTTTTGTTTTGTTTTCAAGTACAACTGGTAGTTAAAGCTATTAGATGAAAGTAGCCATCTTGCACAAAAACAAAATGGGTTTTGTTGCGAACAATAAGTGTTGGGAGTTTGTTCCAACTGTTCTAATGGAAAATATTTAGATATTTGATTTTTAGATACTTGGAAATGAGTGCCCTAGACACAGATGAATAGATATTTTTCCAAAAGTGAGGTCTGTTTTTTTCTATTCATTTTCTYTGGCTCTCAAAAAGGAAATAGCATCCTCCTAAAGAGGAGGTTGAGGGATATRGGGAGTAGCAAGCAAGTCTTAAGCTCAAGTGGGAAAAAGCCTTAAAATGCTGTTTTTAATGGCTTGAGCTCTTTCATACTGCATTCAGGTACCAGTTTCGTTTCCTTTCACGCTACTAGCAGCATTAATTCTTGTGTGGCACTACTCTGCTAGATTTCAGAATATGTGTTTTTTAAAATTCTGCCTTGGTTGAAAATATCCAAAGTATTTTAATGTTCTTAATGAAACAACCTTCAAATAACACTTTCAGGAAAATGTTAACTGTTACTTATGTCACTTAGTAGAGATGTGTAATTAATGCAATCTACTTGCATACAATTTTGTCTGCATTTGAAATAAATGAAACCTTTGTCTTATTTTAACGTTGTGCAGGTTTCCATACCATAAATATAATYGTGTATAGGGAGGCTCCTCTGAGCCTGTGTACAGGCTCCTTAGCATGTCAGGAGCGAGCGCCAGTTGCCTGCGGCACCCGATGACCTCCAGGTTCTTCAGTTTCCCCAGTCTGGAGCAGCTGAYAACTGAGGATGATTGTCCGTGTCACCGGCCTTGCAGCTTCTTCGCACAGTGCACAGAATTTCAGAGCTATCAGGAGATGCGTTTCGGTGGGGCTGATTAACTGCAGGCAGATTCAGAGAATTATCAGCACTTAAGGGTTTGTTCTAGACCTGTTTCGTTCCACGTGTTTGTATCTTCCATCACCTGTCTCTGATATTACACACATGCAGAAACATACTTTGTGTGTGTGTGTATATATGTATTTATAAAAGCTTACTGTATAATAAGTGTTTTGGTATATAGCTCCTTTTCAGTGTTATCACTTGCCCCTTTATAGTCTGCTCCCTTCTAAAATGTAACTATATTTTATACCTGAATTCTCTCTTGTCCCCAAAGTTTCTTTCCTATGCTGCCTAATGCCACAATCTGCAGCCTAATGGAAATCATAACCATGTTTAACAGCCTTTTACAAGTCAGTGCAATGTGGTTTTTTTGTGTCATGGTGCATTTGACAGCTCCTTAGGTTGGAGAGATGGTGCCGGGCCCCGGGAATGGTGCCGGGCCCCGGGAATGGTGCCAGGCCCATCTCGCAGCAGAGCCGCGCGTCCCTGCTGAGCTGCGGCCCTCAGCTCTGCGAGCTTCGTGCCCAGAGCTTGGTTTTCATTTATATTCTGGATCTTGCATTGCCTTGTAAACTAAAGTACAAACAAACAGCTTATAAAGCAGTTAGGGGAAACAATTATACTGATCGTGTGTGTCATCTATGTTGGCATCTGACGGTGCTTGTGGATAGTCCTCTTATCTAGGCTCTGTGCTGCTGGTGTCGCCTCAAGTTTGCCTTTGAAGAGGCTGAGGTGCTGTGCAGGCAGTGTCCTGAAGAACCCAGTTAACCTCCTGCATTTTTGAAAGCATGGCTTTTTTCAGGTAAGAGTCTAAAAATAAATGAAGTCATTCCTGATTTCTCTGGAATAAATATATGTAGGAGCAAAGTGGCAAAAATATCCTCATATTATTCTTAAGTATAAAGTTTCATCTCTAATATGGAAAGAAGTTAGGGAAACAACAAGCCCTCTCATCACCTCCCTCCATCTTAAGACCCTCCTAAAAAGAGTGGTCARCCTGAGAGGGAGAGCCTGGACACGGGAGCATGCTCCAACAGCACACGTGCCTTGTACCAAGGACTGTGATTAGTGCCGTCCTTGACTTTCCCATCCTGTCTTTGCCCAATTCATATCTTAGAATACAAAAAAAACCCATCCCTCACTGTGAAGCCTTTGAATAAGAATTTCAGGTTTCCTTCAGTTAATATAGTCTGAAGAGCCGTGCAGTAAGAAGTCAGGCACCCTGTAAAAATAACCTGTGTGTATAACTTGTGCACTTGACAAGTCTTTCAGATATTCACTCTGCAGAGTGTAGTTGACTGTCTGAAGTCTGAAGATTGTTAGTCAGAGCTTCCTTTATAGCAGTTTGGCCTTGCTGCTCTGTTTGGCACAGTGGGCATTGGTTTGCATGACATGTTCATGCACTGCACCCCCCAATAATTACTGTGCAGAGGGGGCTAAGCCGACTGCATGTCAGGCCAGAGATGTTCGATTCCTGCTTGTGGATGCAATGACTTGCTATGACAGCAGTGACAGCTTTGCCAGTACASCCAATATATGGACCCTGTGTCGTAGGCTTGCATTATTTTACACTTCTGTCTTAAGCAATTTTGAACATTAACAGAGATGCCAGCAGCCGAACAGATGCAAGCCTGAGGTGGGTAACGAATTGCAGAGATGTTCACCTAGTAGTCACCTCTTTAAATTAGCAGGAGCTTAATGGCAATTTAACAGATGTTTTTAGAAATGGATTTTTGGGACTCCCTACATAGAGTTCAGTATTTTGCTTCCATAGAACAAATTCACTGCTGTGCTTGCTCTTAGATTGTAAACTATTAGGGTATGTATACATCTCTTCATTGCTGAAATTGATTGGCTCTCTTTAGTAAGAATAACACCACTTCTGCTGTAAACTTGTTCAACAAGTCTAATACAGCAGCATTAGACACAAATGGGGTGAAGTAAATACAAATATTAATTGAGGCTAGTGCTTTTGTGTATTTCATTCTGCTTTTTATTTTTTAAAAAAGCTTTTGGCTTGCCAACACTGTAATGTGGGGCTCTAAGGAAAACTTCATTGTAGTGGAAATGCTGCTGCTGTTGTGCATCTGCCTCYAGGTCTTTTTAAAGATGATCACCATTACTGTATCATCATTTTATCATCAGTTATTCTAAATAAGAACTTCAGTCTCTCTAAAACGTCTATCATGCTTTTTTCTGCTTGGCAATGTTTTTCTACTTTTTCACRTTTTTTTTATTTGTTTAACTTTTAGTCATGACTACAGAGTACAGTTTGATTTCTTTAGAATGWTTTGAGTAACTTTCACTTAGATTATGCAACCTGAATCAACAGTACCACCACACCCATACAACAATTAACTTTCATGGGAGATAAATTAAATAGAAGCAAAATGGGCATTTCACAAGGGCAGGCTGTATGTGCTGGAGACCTTTTCATTCTAAGGTATGTCAGCTGGGTTGTAATTGGCTCTAATTAGTGCACTCTATTCAGCTATAAAAAGTCATTGCTCTCCAGTTCCATGACGCTCAAAGATATGAAATTGCTTTGAAAACATCAAAGAAGGTGCTTCCGGTCTAGCCTTTACGGCTGAAAATCCAGTGATCAGTTTAAGGAAGGGGCAAACACATCACTAGGAATAAGGAATATTGACCGGTTGGGTTGGAACTCTTCAGAATTAATTGGTCAAACCAGATTTCATGCCTTTGATTTCATACTATATGTATGTGTTGCAACAGAAAATGTCACAAAAAATGGACTTTTAGCAATATGTTTGAGGAATAATGTAATATTAAGAAATTATAAATCTTGTTCAGAAGCAACTTGAATATTCTTCAGGTAGCCACTCAATACAGATTCTGGTGTCTTTTGATTTCACTTTGTGATACTGGAGTTTGGCAGTAGGAATGTGATTGAATGTGAATTATAATGCATAAACATTTTATTGTGTTTTGTGTGTTCATAGAGRTTTTTCATCTTTTTCAAGGATACAATGGAGCTTTCTGGGGCAGAGCTCTATAAATATTATATATATATATAATATATATAAAAATATATTACAGTGGCAGCTGCTTACTTGTAATTATTATAAGCAAAATGGTAGTTGAACCTGTAACTGAAACCACTTGATCATTTTTATTACCAAGATTTGTTTTCAGTTGCTCATAAGTTTCCAAGCTTGTAGCACACAACTTYTAACAAGAAACACTTCTGAAAATAAGACTGGCAACAATATAGGCATAACAATTCACTTTAGAACAAATCATCCTCATTCTAGTTCCATGTGCTTCTTGGAACACGTTATTTATAAATATTATGACTAAATTAAGTGGGTTTTGTCCTAATATGAGAAAGGCCATTAAGAATGGTCTTCTGCAAGCAGCTTCCTTGAACTTGCAATGTAGTAAGGATGCTGGTCATAGGTCCAGCACAACATAGATGCGGAAACTAGCCCCTCCTTTGATCTGCCCTAGGGAAAAGTTTGGTGGCAAGGAACTAGCAATACAGCCATAATGGCAACTTGGGCTTTTTTTAATGTGTTCYGTGTAAAATTTTTTTGCATAGTCCTACCTATTGCCTGCGGGTATCTTGGCCTCTCTGTAGTAGGAAATGTGCAGTCATATGTACATTCAAGTAGTTCTCTTGCCAGCAATGTGGAGCTAAAAGGAATTAAAATGTTCCTTTGTGGGAGGAGAGAAGTGGATTTTGACTGGAGGATCTCAACTGATACTAACTAAGGTTGTATTTCATTTATGGTGCACAAACTACTTGTTACCTTCTGTATCCTTTCTTTCTTTCCTTGTGTTTTTTTTTTTTTTTTTGGTTGTTTGTTTCAGTATAAGGTAGAATGAAGGAGTACCGTAAGGCCGACCAGATCAAGGATTAGGTCACTGACTTAAGGTCATAGGAGCAATGCAAATTTGTGGATAAAATATAAATGTGTGTCGAGTTCAGTCACAAGTTAGGGAGGCAGCTAGTGGCAGCTGAATATTGCGCTCACTTTCCCCAGGCTGTGTGTACATCTGTTTCATCTCTTCAACCCCAGAGTTTGAAGTGATTCAAGCAAAGATGAGCAGAACCAGAACCCTTATATCTGGTGATGGACTCCTGACAAACCTTGAGATATCTTTTCATGTATGCACAAAGGATGAGAATGGTATTTCAAATACCACTGACATGTTGCTTTTGAGTAACTTAAGCTTTTGTCTAGGGAAGAGAGGAACGTTGCCACTGGTACTAAATTAGTGTTCTCTGCACTTGGCTATATTGTGTTGTTACAAGKTAATTAGGAAGTTGTATAATTTTATTTTTGAGAAGTGTGGGATATGGAAGACTGTTTTTTTATTTAATAGCAAATGTTGGTTGTTTAACCTTACTGTCTTCTCAGCAAATGTTTTAGGAATATGGTATATACTTAGCTGTGCTGCTACCAGCTAGACTATACTTCCTTGCATAGACAGGAATAGAGGTAATCACTGATTTTATTTATTTTACTCCTTCATATATAGCACAAAAGTGTGAGTCATAGGCAGAAAAAGTATGTTGCTTGCCATACCCATGATGGGCAGTTGCTAAATTTCAAGAAGTTACATCTAACATCTGAGGTTTACATTTCTGTTGTTATGTCTTCAAAAGGATGCACAAAATCACATGTCAAAGAACATTAAGATTTCAACTTGAGGAATTTATATAGGAAGAATTCACATAGCAGGTGTTTGTCAGAAGATCTTTTTTCTAATCGTTTCATACATATGTGCAATGATTTGTGTTAGTGACATTACTGCACTTCCTATGCATGCTCACTGCCTCATGTAGAATATAGAATGCAAGACAAATGAAGCAGAGGATTTCGGAAAGCTCTTGTACCACTAGGGAGCATCTGGAGAAGCTGAATTGTGTTCCCTTTGCTGACAGGTGTAGTTTGGAATGTCAAAGGGCTCTCAAGAAACGTGCTAAAGCTAACTAAATGTTTGCATAAAAAAGCGTATTTTTAGTGTAACAGCTTAATAGTAACTGACTCTGCAGTAATGTTCATACGTAAAAATATGTAAAACTTGCTAGATTGCTACTTTATGGCAGATTTTGCACTTGAAACATGGCACCAATTTCTGTTGGAAAAAACCAAAAAGAAAATGATTCAATGTGCTTGGAAACASGGTAAGATTTAAGTAACTTCCCACCACAAATTCTATTTGTTTTAATGATGGTTTGTTTGCCTTTTTCTGTTTTTGTTTTACAGTGTTATGTGGGAACCAATGGGAGATGGTAAAAAAATTATTTCACTGGCTGATAATAACATATTATTGTGGGATTTGCAAGAAAGCTCAACCAAAGCTGTGGTAAGAAAAAAATGTTAACAAATGATTATGCACTTCAATGTAGTATAAGTCGCAACATTCCCAATGTAAAATTAGTTTGTATTTTRACTCCTTCCTTGAAGTTTCTTCCTTAAAAATGTGGTTAATAGAGATTTTGACTTGAAGCACTCACATTCAATGCAGTTCTCATTTCCCCCACCCATGTTCAAAGAAGGTAACTTCTATTTTCTTTCCTCCTAGTTACCCTGTGGATTCTAGAGCAAATAATCTAAAGTAAAGTAATGATAACTTGATCAGTATGGGCTAGGGGAAACCATAGATCAATGAAGTAGAAGGTTATCTAATTCAGGTAATGATTAATGGTCTATAAAATATTCCTGGCTTGTCTAAAAAGTGTTATTCTCTATTCTAGTATATTAAACTGTACCGGTCTCACATCCCTGTACTTAAATTAAAATCTTTTGGTGAATGCATAAAACAAAGTTTTCTGCTTGCTGTATCCTGCTTTGAATGCTCAGTATTAAATTAATTTACTGCCTTACTATATGTTTAGATAAATTTAGTAATGAGTTAAAATATCTTCTTTGATATTCAGTATTATAAATAATAGGGTGCCATCAGTACAGATTTCAATCTGATTGTTACGTTTTATAGATAATCAACAAAAGTTGACTCAAGTACATTGGATCCTATATAGGAATCCTCACATGGTTCTGCATAGAGTTATTTCTTTGTGTTTGTCCTTAGAAGTGGAGACTGGTGTCGTCATCGTTATTATTTGGTTGGATTCTTGAATTAACTCTTAACCTTGAGTTGGTGCTAGTTTCTCAGGTGTTTCAGGATCAGATTTTTCAACTAGCTGTTTCTTGGAGTCAAAACTCCCTAAACTTCCTGTGATACCTGTGGTACTGTGTCTAAATAGAGCCTGAAGTTGTTATTAGTTTGCTTAATGTCAATGCTGACGTACAAAGACAGACCTTCTGACTAAACTCAAATGTAAAAAGGAAGCCTAAAGGGGTCAGGTGCCCAGGGGGAGTATAGAGATTTTACCAAGCGCTCAAGCTTGGCTTTCCTAATCCCATCCCTATCTGGAAGGGAATCTGGGGAGGTTTGGGGAGGGCAACAAGAAAAGGCTTCTAAAACACAGGCCTGTTGCCGAGTGGAGTACAGGCCCTCTGCTCTCAGAGGACATGGAAGAGGCTTCAGTACCTCCAGGCCTCTTGTATTTCCTGGTGTGATTGACCTTCGGGAATGCCCGTGCCCCGAGGCCTGAAGGGAAGGCCTTGTCCTCCATGGAAGAGGACCAGGCCATAGTGCTGGTGAAGGTTTCCTGAGCACTGGAAAAGAACAATTGTCAGCCTTATCCTTTAAAAGGGCRGGTGGTCCATGGCCCACAGGCTTACCTTGGTCCCTGGGAAGGGTCTCGTGTTGGTGCTTTCGCCACCTGCTTGTACTACTCATTCTGGTCTCTGACAAAGTTTAGTAATTCTGCCATTCCTTTGCTTCATGACCTCCAGCTCTAGCTAGATAGTTTACATTATAAGAATGATTTTACTGGTCTGAAGCTATGGTCCATCCAGACATTTAAAACGATGACCATAGTAGGCTCCAAAGGAAGCGTTCAGAGCAAATATATTGGATACTCCAGTAGTGTGTGTTAAGGCTTCCGTCTATCCTTTCTCCTTCCAGTCTGGTCATTGTGAGAGCAAAATTTGAAGCATACAAGTAGGATCTCAGTTCTTACTGATATTTTATTAGAATGAATTGCACTAATTGATGCTTTCATATGCAAACATATGAACGTGTATAAATCAGTCCTTTAAAACTGTGATAGATTTTCTTTTCATATTTCAGATATTTTGCTGTTGTAAAAACCATCCTTGAGGATGAAGACTGCATACAGTTCTGTCCTCATCACGTGACATTTGCTTTAATTTTTCAGAACCTCTTCTTTTGCTTTCAAATAATTGTCCCCGTGCAGTTCTGGTGTATTAGGAGCCTACATTTTTTTTATTGTTGTTCCTGTATCAACAGCTTTAGGCACTGATCCACTAAAGCACTTAAGCACTTATGCACAGTGTCAAATCCAGCCGTAATCTGTTAACCACTTCACACTGCTCAAGGTTCATTTTAGTCCTGCCCTTTTTTCTAAAGTCAGAGTGTGAATCTTTGCCCAATGCAACAGAGTTGTCTAAGAACAAGCAGCAGATCACTTTTATTTATAAACTTTTTTCATAGGATAAATCACATATTTATTCAAAAAAAAAAAGGGGGGGGGGAAAGGAAAATAAATCATTGTGATATTAACCAGGGATTCCCTTGCAGATGCGTGTGCTCATTTCCTGGGCAGCACAAGTCCAAACACTTGTGTGAGATGAGAGCCTGAGTTGTGCTGCTGTCCTGTTTCACTTTCTTCCTGTCAATTCATCTAAAAAAAGCAGAAAGAAGAGTTCAAGCTAAAAAGAAAGCCCACCTTCATCTTTTTGCATTTAGGCATAAATTAAAACTGTGGCTAACTTTCTTTTTTTGAGCTTGTATTTATCATTCTAAATTAGCAGCTTTGTTTCCTATGAATTCCTTTCTTGCATCTCTTAAGTTTAAGTTACCTCTTGTCCATAAGGATACCTTCTTATGCAAGACTCTTTCTGCTTTAACTGCCTTTGAATACAGTGCAGTTTCTTTCTGAGTGTAATGTTGGGGGTTTRACTTGACTAACTAAAGTCTCAGGAATTCACTGGGAGTATTTGGCCATCCATGTGAGAGGCCACTGTGTAATCCTACAAGGGCTCCAGGATTGCAGGGGAAGWGCAGGATGACTTGGCAGATGTTACATGCGTCCTGTTCTTCCCAGGTGTTTGTTTTTTTTTTTTAAAAAAAGTATATGTTATGATCTCACTGTTTTATCTGAACTCACATCTTTTATCTGAAAAGAATTAACTTTTTTGTAATAGTTTATTTGATTAAGAAGTGTCTCTCTTTTTTCAGTTTACGATGCTGGAGAAAATATCACCTCCTGTTTACAAAGGTGTTTTCCCTAAGTTATATTTTGGGAGTGATGCTCTGTCTCAGGAACAGATTTTGGAAGAGGCTSTTTGTACTCTTTTCCTGACAGTATTAAGATTTCCTTCCTCTCCTACACAAAGCTTTATCTAAGCTTTGTCTGGCCAAGGTTGCCAACTAAAGAAACTTAAGTCTATTTTTTGAGGTGATCCGTTCAAGTTCTGCACGTTCTTTCGTGTCTGAAATGTAGCATGTGTCAAAAGCCAGAACAGTGCAGTTTGTTTTACTATCTTGAGTCCRGAAGATGTGGCCTACAAAATATTTCTCACTGTATTGATAACCTGCACGTTGTAGAAAGGTTTTCAGAYGCTATTTGTACTTGAGAAAGAATAATGCCAGAGGAGCAGATTTAGTCCCAGTGTYGTATCATTCGGTGAGATACGACCTTATTTTGCAGAATCTCTTATATTCTTAAAAAGTAGACCCTTCAGAAAGGTTTTGGAAAACTTCACGTCTTAAGCAGCATAAACATCAGTGATGGAAAAGCTGGAATATGTGAATTGCTAATCTGCTAAGTAAAAAAGATATTCATAGTGGAATTGTAACGATTTAGCAAGATAAAGAAGCAGGCGTGGAAGTTGGATGCAAATATATTTAAGCAGAGTSTTTGGCTTGTCAGCATATTCTTCTGTTGGTGTTAGTTAAATTTTATGCAAGTGTTCTGTGTGTTTAGCCTTTACTTCATCTATCAAAGTTGAGTATTTCTGCTGAGAGTACTGAATGTTTTCCTGAAACTTGTCAGTGCGGTTATTTGCCAGAATAATTTCTGATGTGGAAAGATGGGGAAGAGGAGACAAGTGTTCCTGAGAGAATCCGTGGTGTCATCTGCTAGGGTGTGAAATGCATCTCAGGGAAACGTTTCAAATATGAAATAAAACATTTAAAATGTGAACTATGTAAAAACTTTTTTTTCAAGGTGACCCAGAGTGTCTRTCATCTGTCTTGCCTCTTGGAAAGTGTATAAATTTTAGTTCCATTTAAAATGGAAATGTTTTGGGTTTTTCCCCATTCCCCGTATGAAACTTTCAATTTCAGTAAGTCACATAACTAAAACTAATTTACAGTGCCTGCTGTTTTGTTTTTTTCTTCATGTTCACATGGACTTGGAGGGCAGCTTGCCTTCCAGCTTCAAACCAGTTCAYTTATAACTGCCTTTTGTTATTTCTGTGGAGCTCCTTGCTCGTGACTTGCCTCTCTGTTCAGGCCTTGTTTTGGAAATGAAGCCTTTTGTTCTGACAGGCTTCAGATTTGTGATCTAGGGCCTGCTGTTAAATCAATAGTCACGGGTGTGGTGGCCTCCCCCCACTCCATAGGGCTGCAGTACCTTTCATTGAAGACCATTTGACACTAGAATTCTGTTCTTGAGGATGAAAATCAGCATTTGGACCTGTAAAGAAGACTTGCTCTGTGGGTCTTTTAAGAGTGTTTATGAAACTAAGTGGATTTGTTGTTTGTCTGTTGGAGACAGCTACTAATTTCTGCCATCAATCCCCATTTTCTATCTAATATTTGTACAAATGACCTGAATTGTAGTTTTGGCTAAGAAGAGCCCCAGTACTTCTAACATKTCTGAACATGTTATACTTGGAAAGTAGAGATGTGCTTTTTTTCTTCAATAAATGTCTTGTTTCTATTCTTTTATCCTAGTATTTTGATAATATCTCACAGGTGAAGCAGTAGGTCACAGGCCAATTTTGTTTTCACTACAACTACAACTTTAATTTATATTTACACTTGGAAATATCACTGGCTTTATCCTGTCTTGTTCAGCTCTCCAGTTCTACCACCTTGGAAGGGAAGGGCCAATTAAAATTTACATCAGGACGATGGAGTCCTCACCACAATTGCACGCAGATTGCAACAGCCAACGACACTGTTATTCGAGGATGGGATACACGAACCATGAGGTAAAAAAAATTCAATCTTTTCCCTTTTTTTAATTTTAAAAAATAATTTAAATTAATTTTAAAAAATGTTTTTAAAAGTCAGGAATGCCCCTATCCTATGGAAATGGATTTTCATTGCTCCTAATATTTTGTTGATAGTTGAAATGTGGCAAAGCTATTGCTCGTGAAGGGAAGAGTATGGCTTTCATAGCTGGTGTATTCACAATTTAGTAAAAGATTTTCTCTATTCTTCCCCTCAGTTTTAACTCTAAATTTGTACATGAAGTTTTGYTGAACTGTGTGCTAGTCCCAAGGTGATTAGTTCAATACATAGGCATTACCTGGTGAAGCTGTTTTGTAGCTCAACCTGAAAGTTGGTGTTTAAGATCTGTCCTAACTGTGCTACGAAACATCTGAATAGCGTAGTGTTTAAAGGTAACTTTAATCTGGAGTAATTCCTCAGGATAACTTCACTCCTTCACGGTGTGATTTGGAACAAGCGATGTGCAGTGTTAAAGACGGTGACACACTCATTTCACCTGTCAAAATGGGACCAAAACAATTAAAGCTCAGTATGTACCAAGCAAGGTGCCTTCTGCCTGCTTAGCTGTGCTTTTGATAAGCCAAGGAGTGATGTTGTGCACATCTGTTTCCATGGCTACTACAGCCTGTGCAAGGTTCTTTCAGATACCCTCTATCCCCTTAGCACAGAGTCATTCATCACCAAACCCAGGAGGAGACCAGTGTCTCCTCATAACTTTGGGTACCTTAAAGGGCTGTGACTTGAAACTTACTTCTGTGACTCCTGCCAGCATGAGAGTGTAGGAATAAATCCCTGTGCTTGCCAGCCAGGTGCATTTCTGCTAAAAAGGTTTAATTTATTAAACAAAAGCTTAAATACAAATATAGTCATTTAAAAGTCACTTGTGTCCCTGTCACCTGTTTCGGTCAGTGAAAGGATATGTAAAATTCTAATTTTACACACAAACACACGCATGTATGCGTGTGTGTATGTGCCTGTCAAAGACTGTTTTAAATGAAGCACAAAAAAGGAAGTCAAAGGAGAAAGCTTTTTCTTTCAGCTTCCTTTCTATGTTATTTTTATTGTTGTCCTATTTTAGCATGTAGTAAGCAGACCTGAAGATTAAAGCTGTCTTTCTAAGTAGAAAATATCAAATACTTGGATTTTTTTTGCATATAAGTCTGTTAAATACTCTGTCCCTTTAAAAAGTACCTCATTATTGTGTTAAATGAATTCTCACAGTAACACGTATAAAAGCTGCCAGGTAAACGTGGTTTGGTTAAAAGAAATAACCCCCCACTGTTCTAATTAATTTGAGTGAATCTCTGATTAGATAGCTCTTGAAATAATGTAGGAGCAGTAGGCTATGCCCAAGAGTTGTTTGCAGCATTCTTGAAAAATACATGATAAAAATAAGCCTAGTCTGCAACTGTAACGTGTCTGGAATGATGCAACTGTCTGATAAGGACAAGTTAGGCTGGAGATAGGAGTTTAAAATCATGGCAATATAAACCACAGCAGGGTAAGTAGGAAAAATGAGAGAAAGAAGCCAAGGTCAAAAAAAAACCTGCAAGAGCAAAGAATCAAAAAGGGGAGATACTGAAGAAGTAGCCAGAATAGAAACATGAGGGTGTGGGTATGAAAGCTATAGGATAAATGGAATATGTGGTATTGAATGTGGCAAACAGAGGGAGGAAAGAAGCGGGGGTGGGTTGTGGTAAAGGCTGCCAGCCTAGGGAGCAATCATTAGTAAAGTGAATCAGGAAAGTGCTTGTAAAGCAGGGAGGACAGAAACGAGGCTGGGTGGATTCTGAGAGAGAATTRTATCGGGGAAATACAGGCTTCAAACATGAAAATGAAAATCTGGAGGGAAAAGGACATGAGAAGGCGGAACAGTGTTTGGAGAAAAGGTTGGCGTGTGCTCTGACCTTAATACGTGTCCTAAGTGGGAGTTCAGTGTAGGAAATATTGCTCTCTGGTGAGATGATGGAGTGGAGGGAAGCAGAAGGTTCGTATCTGGGAAGGAGAGGGATCGAGTGGTCAGAGAAGGCCGTTTGAGTTGGGATGGGGCTTGGAAGGGGAGYGTGGCTGTTGGGAGCACCTGTGGGTGGCCTTTCTCCCTAGCCCCTGGCRAAGGGCTCTGCGAGCAAAGGGAAGGGTCTTGGGGGGAGATGCTCTCCTGCTATGAGTGTGTCTCGGGTTTTTGAGGTCTTCCCGTAAAGGCCTTCCAGGAAGCTAAAAGGAAATGCAAAGTTCAGGCCCCCAGACAGCCAGTAGAAAGGCATTCCTGGCTGAAATCCTTAATCTGTCTGATTGAGGCAAGAGTCTCCAAGATGGATATCAAGGTGAAAGCCTCTACTCTGAGTAACTGCTGCAGTTGCTGGTGTAGTGGGTAGTGTAGGGCTGGTGCACTCTGTATTGCTCCTTATGGGGCTGTTTTGCTTTGTAAATATTATTATTTGTAGTAATTAACTACCAATAGCAAGAGAATTCTCTCCCAGGACTTGACTAGTGAATCTCTGTGATCCAAAAAGTTTTGGGTTCAGCCAGTCAAGAAAGAAAAAGCAAAACATTTTTCACTGGCAGCACTAAGACTAGTTTTACTATCATTATGTCCTAGTGAAGTTTGTAGGAGAGTGTCAAAACCAGACAGAGCTTTGGTAGATACTGACTTTGTAAGTGGGTATGGGAACAAATGCTGTCATTTCATAAAGCCAGTGGTAAGACTGTGTGCTCGTCAGATGTTTTTCCTGAGTAAATTGGTGATAGCAGAGACAAAACTTAGTAGGGGGGAAACTAGTGAGTCACTGATGGAACAACCCTGTGGTGCCAGACTTGTTACTGCACCTATTTCCTGAGTGGTCCAAATGGCTGAGTATGGGTGTGACCAAATAGTTTAAGGGTCACCGGTAAATTAATGGTAAATGTCACAGTCTAAGAAGATGGGTTCAAAATAAAGCAATAATAAAAAGCAGTTCTTGATTTCTATTGTCTCATACCTCAGCTTTTCATATAGGTAGAGCTCAATCTCATATATAGGGAATTGATCCAACTACTTAGGTTTAGAGGAGCAGTTATCAAAAAATATTGCATGTTTGATAGACGTGTGTGAGAATCGTGTGGATCTCCTGTTTGTTTTCAGCTCTAAATGCTTCCAGCACAAACAGGTAAAGAGCAAAGCTTGGAAGCAAACCGAGGGACCTGTGTGAGTGTCTGCTGTGAACGGCTGGGCTTTCCCCACACTAAATGCTGGCAATGGGAGCTCTCGGTTTGCTGGTGCTGAAGGAATTATACAAGTTTCCAGGGAAACAGTCTTGTCAGCTGAGTGCAGTTAGCTTTTTATAGGCCATTTAATTCCTGTAATGTGTTTTACAGGCAGATATATTGCATAGAAAATGCCCATGGACAGCTGGTCCGAGACCTAGACTTCAATCCCAATAAGCAGTACTACCTGGCTAGCTGCGGCGATGACTTCAAGGCGAAATTCTGGGACACGAGGAATGTCACRGAGCCGGTGAAGTCGCTGGATGAGCATTTGCACTGGTAGAACAAATGACCCGYGTGCTGTTTTGTGGGGGGGATGGTTTGTGTAACTTATTCAGCTCATTGTTTTGCTGCTTAGGAACAGTGCAAATTAGCTGYGTTTGCACTATTGTGAATGATTTTTCTGCATAGAAGAGTGCTTTGGATGTTTCTTGWGCGAATATGGATGTTTCTTGTGAGATTGCAAATGAAGATTACAGACAAGACTGATGAGAAATGAGTGTTAAAAGTACTGGGAGATAGAGTAGAGAACAGGTGGGATGTACCTGTGTTTGCCCAACTTGAACCTCTTCTGCCATAAGTCAAAAAGCTCTTGAGTTCTTTTGGTGGTGGAACCAAATATGGAACTGCCCTCTGTCCCCGTCCCATAGAGCACTGGGGATGCTGGACAAGGCAGCCCCTGCTTTCATCGTGCTCCTCGCATCCCCTAGGCACAAATGTGCTATTGAGATGTTTGATTTTCTAAGTTAATACTGAGAACCTGTGGCTGACACCCTGAGAATACCTTGTGTGGTGTTTGCAGACTTCCATGGTTAGGAAAAGATGAGCAGCTCACATTTGATACAGTTTGAGTTGGAGTAATTCTTGCAAAAGAATTGCAAAAAAAGAAATCTGGACCCTGAAGCAAGTTTGAATAGTGTGGAGATGTCAGTTAACAGAAGCAGCTCTTAACAGAACACTCTTTTTTTTGAGATAATTAAAATAAAACAAGGACTGAGAGACATTTAGTATTAAGATGTAAAATGTAAAAATTGAAGAGAAATATAATCCTACTTTTGTTTTAGGATCTATTGTGATTTTTAACTCTAAGGATGTTTTGAGGTTTTGTTTCTACCTCAAGCTTCTAYTTACTTCTAATCCATATTTGGCTTTGGGGGGACTTTTATATTTAGAACTTAAATATTCATCTGACGTATTAAACAATGAACTGACACATGCCCTCAAGGAATGATATCGCTCAGTGGTGGCTTTTGTTTTTGAGTTTTTTTCCTCAAAACTTATTTGTTGTTTTCTAGAAATACCCCATAGAAAATCAAATGACATCAAGGCTTAAAATTCCAAAGAAGATGGAAAAAGCCAGTTTTTGGACTGAGGCATGTCACTTCTAAGTGTATTTATCACATTTAAATTGCAGATGAATTTTAGCCATGTTATTTAAAGTCAAGTCATTTAAGAAGCGTCACAGTGTGACCTGCCAAGAATCACCACTTKGTTTGGGGTTTATTTTTACCCAATTCCTCTTGCAGGGTCTGGAGCGTCCGATACAATCATTCCCACGACCAGCTGATCCTGACAGCAAGCAGCGACAGCCGAGTTATACTCTCCAACATGGTATCCATTTCTTCTGAACCGTTTGGRCATATGGTAGATGACGATGAACTAAGTGACCAAGAGGACCACCAACAGGAAGAGAAGTATGAAATTCCCWGGGTTTTATGCTAGTGTTGATAGTTTGTAGTTTCCTTTTAATGATTAACATGCTCTTCTTTACCAACTAGGATTTTTGTATACAGGCCTTTCAGGTATGTAGCTCTGAGTTCTGCTTTATACATTCTTCTTTACTCCTTTGTCTAAGCTCTTGCCTGTTAAAAGCTATTTGGCCCCAGCATCGTGTCTTCCTTGGCATCAGGGAGTGCCGAGACTGAGTCCTGATGTCACTTGTGTCGGTGAATAGGCTCACTCTGGAGGGAAGTTGGATCAGGTCACACACCTACACCTTGAGTCAGCCCGGTCATGAGAGCTGGAAATCAGATTTTGTAGTTTTTCTAGAAAACGTTATCACTGTAGTCATGATCTACAGTCAGACATACAAATTTATTAAGTAGTGTAAATTCTGCCYTTGACGTTTCTGCCTGCTCAAGAAATCAAGAACTCTTTAGACCTATTTTGACTAGGACAAAAGTCTGTTTGCAGCTCTCTTGGTAGAGGAAGATTTAACATCACTGCAGGCACTGGTTTATAAGCACCTTTCTCCTTGGGTGTGAGAGGATTGCACATTTGCATGTGTATTTTCTTTTTCAATAGAGACTTGACTAAGGTGGCAAAATAATTATTTCTCATCTTCCATTTTCTGTGCTTTTAATTTTTCATGGTAAAAAAGTATGTSTTTTCCCCTGTTCTTTATGAACGTGTACGTATGTACAAGGAGCTCTGTATGAGATATGGACTCAGGACACCTGCTCTCTTGACAGCCAGCTTATATGGAGATATTGAGCAGAGGTGCTCTGATTTTTCMCGTTACAAAATGAGCGTGATGATGCAGAAAGTCTTGTAAAATACCATGAGACCACTGGATTTTAATCTGTATTCTTCTAGTCTTTGCAGCTGTGAATATGTATGTGCTCCATGTCTGAGCTGGGCGACTGACTGAGAGAAATCTAGAAATCACAGGTTTATGCTACAGAATTGCCCAGCAGACTCGGTTAATTAAAACAGCTTAAATTGTTGCGTTGGAGAAGCCCATGTTTTGGGCTTGGCTTGGCTGGTTGGATGTTTTAGAAGCTCAGCCAAATCCAAGGAAGCAGCAGTTTTCCATTCCTAGGGTATTTTGCCTTTAAAAGGCTATGTAGCCTTTTCCCTAGTACATATATCTGCTGCATTGAGTAAAAATATATTTATATATATATCCTCAATTTATTTTACACATTAGGACAACTTTGAAAACTTGCTGTATTAAATATTTGTTTCCTTTATCTTTTAGGATAAACACTCAGGGCTAGATTTTTTTTTTTTATTTTTATTATTTGGAAGGAGGAGGATAATACTTATTAGCTGTATGAATGGCTAATTGTTGTATATATAACTTGTGTTCCAGTATAAAGAATTCTATCTTTTTAATAGAGGAAAAAGAAGTAGTGTTACCTGAGCTTATCTCCAATGATATCTTAAACTTGCAAAGTTCTGTCCTTCTGTGAAAGGCTAAGGGCATCCGCAGAGCTTCTCTTAGAGTCTGACATTGTGCTCTTGGGTCTTTATTTTGGGCTTTATTTTGAACATTGCAATATGTGTTGCTCTCTGCTGAACCAGATCTATGTTGCAGTAATTTTTAGGTTAAGGAGGATTTAAAACTGAGTGTGGTAAAGAATTAATGATTTTGGGGGTGACTCTGAAAAAGCATATTTTAGTCAACATGGTGATGACAAAACAGACTCACAAGCGCTGCAAACTTAAGTGGCTGTTAGCATGAGCAGTAATCGGAAAGAACAGCTCTCTGCATTAAAACAATTATCCAGGGCTTAACAGGCTTCTCTCTCAAGTCTGTAACACAATTAACCTCAAAGTTATCTGGGAAAATGAAAACTCTTCCCTTTTCACAGGAGAAGCTAGTAGAGTTTGTGCTACATGAGAGAACYAGTCCAGTTCCAGCTCACTCTGACACAGGTCTTTGGATTTATGGAGGATGTAGATAGAGATTACATTGTATATAAAGAGAGAGAATGGCAGTTTAGTCTGTCCAAGAGAAAAAAAAATTGAAAAAGTCCTTTATTCAATTAGTCAGAAGTCAATTATTACAAAAATAACTGGAAAAAAAGGAGAATAGGAACCTAAAGAAACTTTCAGGGGCAGGAAGTTCAGGACTAGGAAAAACTAGTTTGCCAAGCTTGCCAGGCCTAGCAAGTGACTAGCAAGTTTATCACCAAAATTTATATATTATCAAAATTAACAAAAACTAAAATTAATAATTAATATTATCAAAATACTATATAACAGTGCTGTATCAAAGAGCCAGTAGGGCAGCAACTGCACCTGAGGTACATCACATTGAGGCACAGCAACTGCATTTTTACATCTGTATCCCATGGATTATGTGTAAAAAAACGAGCATCTGTTTTGGCAGTACCCTGAGTTGTGTGTTTTGAAATGGGTTGGGAGAAAGTTTATGCGCATCCTCTGGCACCCTTCATGTTTCAGAACTTACCCAAATAGAACAATTTAAGATCCTGAACTCTCCTCCTTTTCCTAAAACCTGCCCAGGATCTGTCACCTTTATTCCAGCATCCAGTCTATCTTCAATTCATTGACAGCAAATACTTAACATTTCAGTCTAGGGACATAATAGCTGCACACCTATAAGAATCCTAGAGGAATCCGGTTCCTTCTAGGGACCTTCTACATTCTCTTCTTTTTTTAGAGGGAACCCTCTAGGTTCTTTTCTTTTTTAAAAAGAAGAGAAGGGAAAGAAAATTATCTTCCAGATGTGTGAATTAAATTCTGGGTTTTTTGGGGGGGAGGGGCTGCTCATTACTCAATTTAAAGGCAAATTAATTTTCACTCAGCATGTTTGTAGAGGATGCTCATGGACAAAAGACTGTCTTTTGGATCTTCTGTATAGTTCCTGAGACCATGTAATTCTAGGATTACTTTTTCCCTCCTGATTATCCTGTACTTCTTTATAAAAGTGAGCGTTTAACATAAAACATTTTCTCAGGCTCACAATAAATGTCTCATATACACAAATAGTTTATAAAAATGTCCTTATAGAAACGGACCTTCAGGCTCCTGCAGCCTGAAGAACTGCATGGGTAGCTTTCCTTTTTTGGAAAGGCACAAAATGACTTCCATCCCCAAGGAGAAATTGTGCGTATAGACAATAACAAGCGAGGGTTAAAAATTGAGGCAGTAAACACGAATGCCACACAGCAGCTCAGCTACTCATGCAGGCTTCTTTCCCGAACACTCATTCCCCTGTGACTGCTGTAAATTAGATGAACTACCTGATTTAAATGAAACACTACAGCAACTTGGAGCACACAGAGAATAGCGCAATCTGGAAGCTGATCTGTGCCCTTTATCCAGCCTGTGGTTAACGGAGCCTCCTGGTTAGCTGGAAGGCGGTCGTGTCCCTGGGAGCCGGATTGCTCCGCGCTTCTCCAGGGAGTCATTGGGAATGAGGTGGCCTCTGGCTGAGGAGCGAACGCTGCCGGGGGCCCTGTCCCACTTTCCCTCCACCAGGCAGTTAGCAGGGAGCTRGGAAAAGGCATCGCGGGAGGCTGAGCACCTTTATAGCTCCCTGCTGGTCCGCAGTCTGCATCCGAGTCTGCGTTTGCAGGGACTGCAAAGCCATCCTGTAATTACSTGGAAGCTGTGGTGCTTGTGCTGTGACCTCTTTTTGATAGCTGCCCTTAACTGCAGCACAGGGGAATGCTAACAGTCCTGGATCTGGAAGGCTGAAGCACTTGTTAGGCGGCTTTGGGTTTCTTCATTAAACTCCACTTTAATTGTGGTGTTAGATTCGCAGCGGCTTAGCCTGGCGAGCTGCAGGCCATTCATACCTAATCTTACATGCTGCAATTGCAGCAATGCGCCCTTCCAGCCTGTGGCCAGCAGCGGCCAAGGGCAGAGGCTGCCAGGGCCACCTCYTTCCTGCAGTGGCAGAATCCTCTGGGATGAGCGGGAGGCCGGGAGCAGGCCCACCGGGAGCGGCGCTGCTGCAGTGTGGGGGCTACCCGGAGCTTGGAGAGCAGCCAGCGATTCATCGAATCATAGAATGCCCAAGGTTGGAAGGGACCTCAGAGGTCATCCAGTCCAACCCCCCTGCTCACRCAGGGTCACCTAGAGCACGTGGCACAGGGCTGCGTCCAAGCAGGTTTTAAAGACCTCCAAAGAAGGAGACTCCACARCCTCTCTGGGCAGCCTGTTCCAGGGCTTTGTCACCCTCAATGTCAAAAAGTGTTTCCTTAAGTTCCTGTGGAACTTTTGGTGCCTCAGCTTGTGGCCGTTTCCTCTAGTCCTATTGCTGGCCACCACTGAAAAGAGGCCAGCCCCCTCCTCCTCACTGCCTCCCTTGAGGTATTTATAGACACTGATCAGGTCCCCCCTCAGCCTCCTCTTCTCCAGGCTGAACAGGCCCAGCTCCCTCAGCCTTTGCTCATAGGGCAGATGTTCCAGGCCCCTGATCATCCTCGTAGCCATTCAGAGAGAAGCTGTTTGGGAAGAAGGGACTAGGAAGAAAGTAGACCTTGGAGTACGTTTGAATCTGCCCCTGTACTTTCAGTTGCTTCAGAGAGAGATGTGTTTAGCATATTGCTTCTATTAGACCCAAACTGGATTGAATTGAGACTCCAAACTGGATTGAGAATAACAGATAATTCATCCCRGCAAGTGAAGTCTTTGACCTCACCTGGCCGTGTCTGAAATGTGTGTGTGAGTGTGTGTGCCCATGTTGGCCTCTGAATGGGGCTTCCTTGGAGCCCGACATTGCAATTTTACACATTAATAGGAGCTTGTGTATCTATGTATATTTATGACACTTAGCCTTTTCAGTCAAGTGCGTTCACAAACCCTTACTTTTTTTTTCTTCTTTAATTTTAGGAGTAAAGAGCCCCTTCAGGACAGTGTAATAGCTACCTATGAAGAACATGAAGATAGCGTATATGCAGTTGAATGGTCATCAGCAGACCCCTGGTTATTTGCCTCTCTAAGTTATGATGGGAGACTTGTCATTAACAGGGTTCCCAGAGCTCTTAAGTATCACATATTGTTATAATTTGTTTTGACTACTGATGAAATTATTGTCTTGATGTACAGAATTGGTAGGTATTTTTTTAAGGATTATTTTCTGTTGCAGTTAAGTATAAATGATAAAGACTGTATCTGTACTAACGTAGAAACTTACTTTTCAGGTTTGGTCTTCTGTATTTCTCTTGGAAAATATGATAAGTTTTCTTAAGGTTGTGCTAGTTTTTTTTTTTATAATCACTTTGCAATTGTGAGTTTTGGTGTTTCTCAATATATTGGGCATTTTATGGCTGATAAATGAATCAACTGACACAGTGAATCAATCTAATGYAGTGAGTTACAGTGATGTTATTATGCCAGTGTCAAGTTGGGAGAAGGTTGGGTGCATGTAGCTGAAGTGATCTACGCATTTGCAAAAATAATGTTCTGTCTTCCTTCTTTTGTATATAAGCAGCCTTCTGTTCTTAGCTAGGGCCACAGTTTGTTAACTATTCTGACACATTCTGACTACAAATACAGTTGGAAATGGTCTCAAACACTTCCTTAATTCACTCCAATATTTTAAACAATGTTTCTCCCATTTTGTCTAACAAAAATGTCCTTTATGAAGGAAAACTATCCACTCTAAATTTACTCTTCATTTAAGCCTTATAGGCTTATAGGAATGCTGTCCTGTAATTCACAAATTAAATGCCTTTTTGTGCTGTATGTTGTTATTGGAAACTATTCTCTTCCTTAAAATCCCTGATATACTCTCCTGTAATATATTACAGCATATTTATAAAATTTGGTTGTCCTGTGATATATTTTGAGCTCTCCTGTAGCTACGCCATTATGAACCTGAAAAATCTCTTYAGCAGTTGTAAGCAGCTCATCCCTGTTCTCGTAGGCTCTGGACCCTTCTGCTTCTTGSCTACATGATGCAGTGGGTGTTCAGCTATGCACAATTTGTGTTTTGCTCTAGGCTTCTCTTTAGACCTGGCCTAGGCATCAATAGCTGTTCTGTGGAAGAACCTCTTTCCTGTGAGGGTGACAGAGCCCTGGAACAGGCTGCCCAGGGAGGTTGTGGAGTCTCCTTCTCTGGAGATCTTCCAGACCTGCCACCCTGTGCGCCATGCCCTGGGTATCACTGCTGGAGCAGTTGGAGTGGGTTGGACTAAATGATCTCTAGAGGTCCCTTCCAACCTCAGCTGTCCTGTGATTCTGTGAAATACTGGAAATAGGCAGCTGTTGCCTTGCAGGGAATGTACAGAAAACTTGAAATGCAGATGGAAGGCGCTTAATTTATTGGCAGCCTATTTTGCTGTTATTGTAACAGTCCTGCTGCTCTCGGTGTGCTGAGGCCAGACACAGCTGTAATTATGCCCTGTTTGCCCTTTCGTCACTATTATTTTCAGTTAACTCCAGAAGTTGGCTACACAAAATAGTTTCAGTTCTGGTAGCATTGTATGAGACCCTCCAAAGAGATGCCAAGAACATGGGGTGGAAAAATCGATACCAACCCCCTGCTAAGAGTCCTGCTGTTGCTGTAGTGCCGGGGCTGGTGCTGCTCTTGAGGGACAACTTGCTCCTAACCTGTCCTTGTCCTCACCACAGTGTGATTCAAAATATGTCCAAATGCGACTTGTCGTGTGTGTGGGAACACACCTTGGGAGCCTAACTGACTATGGTAGGCCAAAGTGTTCATGAAAGATCAACATTTAATTCCATTTTTGGCTTATTAAAGAGCTTATTTGGAAGAAATCATAGAAGTGAAGTAATTCAATTCAGGCATATTTGTTATTGTTTGTATTTGTGTTCCAGGGAGGCCTGTTTGTACCAGAGCAAAGCTTCTGTTGGGAAAGCTGATGGTCTGATTTTTCTCTGTTAAGATTTTCAACTTTGCTGTTTCAGATTTTTTCAGTCTGCAACTGGGCATGAGCCATTCACCTGCATGTTACAAGAAAAAATACATTTCTGAATCAATTGTGCTTCAGCTGTCTGAGTTGGATTGGGATGTTGTTTTCCAAGTGGAGCTTTCAATCTTTAGACAAAATTTTTCTTTTTTTCCCCATGCACCCAAAAAATCTGCTGTGTATCATTAGTATGCAGCAGAATACTTCAAAAGCTTGTTCACATTAGCAATAAAGGTCTAATGAAATTTTATTGTCTCCTAATGTATATGGTTTACAGTGGGCAGGTGACAGGAAATTATGTAACGCATGCGGTGCTTGGTTTTATGTGTAATAAAATGTGGGACAGATTTTGGCTGATGTACTGCATTTCCGTTAATATTAGAGCTTTCCCCATGGTATAAGGTTATATCTGTAAAGAAACAATAACAGCCTATTTTTCTGTTATTTTTGTATTGTCTGCCTTTGGTAACTGTTTATAATATCACATTATAAGGTGAGAAGATAAGGGATGAACTGTGGGAAGGAAGGGAGCAGCAGGTCAAGTTTAAATGAAATGCATTACAGTAGAAGCAAGAGAGCAGACAGGGTCAAATTTTAATCATTTTTAGCTATCTCTAAAGCTGACTGAGTTGCATGTTCAACACTGCCAGCAATATGAAAATGACTTTCATATAGGGGAAAGCTTTTGACAAGGTTTCAGCTTAAGCTGTTAGAGAAAGCAAACTCCTGTAGGATAAGAGGAAAGGTCCTCAGATGGATAAACAGCCAGTTAAAAGATAGGGAATAGGAGGCAGGAATAAATCACCACATTTCACAAAGAAAGAAATTACCAGAGAAGTTCTGCAAGGATCTGTGCTCAAGCCTGTGCTTTCCAGAAAGGTCACAAATACAATGTAAAAAGGACTGCATATAAAAATGGCCAAGCCTGCAAATGTTCAAAGTAGTAAGGATGACTGGTTGGAGGATTATGGAAGGTTGTATCACAACACTGATAAAATGATAGATGAAATCCAGTACAGGAAAAGTGGCGTGATGGATTTTACATATGGCAGTGTCAGTTAACTTGCTGCTTGCAAGTGAGATCTTGAGATTATAATAGCTCTTTAAAAGCATTAGCTTATAAGAGGTTGAAGAACYAAACTGTACAGATTTACTAGAAGCCAGCTAGAGAAGGAAACAGCCTCCCTGGTGTGCATACATCCTGAATGCTCTGCTCCTTCTCCTTTCTTTCATCTTAAAATTGAGGTAGTAAAACTGGGAAAGGTTTTAGAGAAGGGATGACAGAAATGATGAATAGTATGCAGCTCCTGTGTGAGGATAACTAAATAGAGTGAAAGGCAGAGGGGTGAGAGGCAATGATAAAAGTCTATAAAATCACTCCCTATTCATCCTCTCCCCCTGTCACTTGTGATCATTCACTGTCTCTTCTGATACAAGGAGTGGATGTTATTAAATGGCATCGCCAGGTGGTGGCTCAAAACCTGCAAAACAATGTGGTCTTTAGAGCCACACAGTTGAGCTGTGACATCCTTTTCACCATCCACCCACACTCGTGCATGCACACAACATGAAAAAGAAGGTCATCATTCTAAGGTTTGCATCACTTGAACTAAATAAATTCCTGAAATCCTTTTCATCCATGAAGCGACGGACTTTCAGAGGAGACCGGGAAGGATCCCTGCTTGTCGGCCACTCTTCACCTGCCTCCCTGCACATGGGCTGAGTGCTCGTGTAGGAAGCAAGTAGAATTTAATAACGTTTCCTCCAGAGCATTTACTCCTGCACTTTCATCTCTCACAGCTCTTTACATTGGTTATAAGTTGCATTTTAAGGGATTTTAGAAAACCTCCTGTCTCAGATGAAACTCTTGTGAAATCTCAGTATTATTTGTGGAAGCTGCCTACTTTGTTGCTTAAAGCCTTCTTGGCAGTGAGACTATGGAGGCAGGCTGATTTCTCTACAATATACGGAGTCCATCACCTCTCCTGAAGTTCAAATCATGTTCTGAGCTGCCATAAAGTSCTGGGTTGCTACAGTGTTTTGTAGACTGCTCTTTTATGCTGCCCCATATGTGGCACTGCACAGTTGTGCACTGGTAGGTGTACAATTACGTTTTCAAAACAATTCTTCAAAATGATTTTTCATTCTTTTCAGACCATATGCAGGTAAGATGCTTTAATAGGTTTTTGGTTTTGCAAAAGTAAATTGTGGCATTCCTTAAAGGTGTTGGATTGTCAGTGTTAACAGCCTAAAAACTTGTTTTCTTACAGATTCAGCATCGATAATCTCTACTTCGTCACCTATGCAATTTTATTCCCTAAACTGCCTGAGATGTGGTATTTTTATTTCTCAGATGTGAATTACTGAAGAAGAAAGAAATTGATAATACTTTCTTAAAAAAAAAAAAAAAAGTTTGATCTAAACTTGATTGATGTCGATAGAAGTGTAAGTGTATTGGCTGTGTAATGAGTAGTTCAAAGAACAGTTTCTTTCACTCCTGAGTAAAAGTGATGCCATCCAAGTTCAAAAATGCCCTCAGTACAGACCTGGACTTTGCTTGTTGTGCCAATGCTAAAATTAGTTGAACTGCACTGAAGTGTATGAAGTTAATGAATTACTTGTTAGCATTAGAATTAATGAAAAAAGTAACTATTGGATGGCATGGGTAGGCTTGACATTAATTCTAGACCATTCCCCTTTCTTCTGTTTTGTTATTCTAAAGTGCATGAAAATAAAATAAGGATTTTGTTCAACACTTAGTAAAGAATGTTGTTTTATAAAGAATAAACTACCTGAAAGTTGTTTTTGAACTTGTAACTGAAAACATTAACTCTTCTTTTTTGTTCACTTGTAATTCCTGCATCTTACAGCTTGGAACTTCTTCCAGTATTTGAGACTGAAATTCTGGTATCTTGCAGGTTATTCAGGATAGCCTCAAACAGCACAGTCTAGGTCATGGTGAGGCGCCTTAAAGCAGATACACTCATATCTGGCAGCGGGGAAGCTGTGGAAAGCCATTAATGGTAACTGTGAAGATCAGTAACTGGATGATGCAAGTTCACTTAAGCTGTTATCATTACTGTGTGTAACCAGTTCTTGGCTTTACAGAGAATATTGAGGTTTCTCTTTTGTGGGGGATGTGAAGAAAACAGTTGAAACCTTGTTGCAGAACCTGTGGCCTGAGTGCATTCCTGGGCTGCAGAAAGCCTGTGGTTTCTGGAATAACAGCTGAGCTGAATGGAAGGAAAGTGCAAATCAATTTTTAGAGAAGCTGGGCTTTCCTGTAAAGGGAGCTGCTGAATTCAAAAGCAATGGATAGTCTCCAGATCAATTTGCACATTGCTCCCGCTCATTCCACCTGCCACTTTGGTCAGCGAGGGACTAGTGAAGTGAGAAGAAAATGACACAAAGGAGATTTGGAGAAAAGGAAAAAGACATAGGCAAAGGAAAAGTAAAAGAAAGACTGACAAATATGGAATGAAAAGTAAATTGAAAAAGACAAGATCAGGGAAAGATCAGTTTGGAAAACAGAAGTAGGGAAGACAGAAAAAAAATGATGGTAAATGAAGTAAATAGAAGTGGAAGTATGAAGTTTTTAAAAAGAAAAAGGAGTAAAAGAGTAGAATTTGTTTGTTTTATCTCTGTCCTTATAATTTCATATGTTAATTTTCTGTGTCCATGAAATCTTACATACTATTCTCCCCAGCTTAACTTATTCAGGTGCTTAGAGAATTCATTACAGTATTTTAATTCTGTCAGTGGATAACGATACATAGATGATAGTTGCCACCAAGTTTGGGTATAAGTAAATATTCTTGCTGATCCTGAAGTTAGCAGCCCCAACTAATAAGTTTGAAGAAGGTTTTGAGTTGGTGACTGCCCCTTCCAGGGATCAGGTTGTAATGSCTGGTGGGAGCAGTTGGAGGTCAATTGAGAGCCAAGCGAGCAGTGATAGGACAAGGTGCAATTGGGTGCAAGTTGAAACACAGGAGGTTCCATCTCCAWGTGAGGAGGAACTTCACYGTGAGGGTGACAGAGCCCTGGAACAGGCTGCCCAGGGAGGTTGTGGAGTCTTCTTCTCTAGAGGTCTTCCAAACCTGCCTGGATGCCACCCTGTGCTCTGGGTGTCCTTGCTGGAGCAGGGGAGTTGGACTAGATGATCTCTAGATGTCCCTTCCAACCTCAACTGGTCTGTGATTCTGTGATAACATGAGCAACACTAGAGAGCATTTCAAGGGGGCTATTTTTGAGTTATACTAGTTAGAGCTTCAAAAGTGTGTCCTGTCTGTGCTTTAGGAGAGTGTCACTGTGTCGACAACTCCAGATGTTAGATGTAATCAATAAAATACTAGAGCTGCAAGTTTCCTTCTGCGCTGTTACCTGGCAGCAAAAYAATTTTGAGCCAATCCTGACCCCTTCTGTTCTGGTGCTACCACAGCCATGAGTTCGTAAAGGGGTTTCCATGCTCTAGCACAGAAGAAATTTTACAGAAGAAATGTAATACATTTGGAATTATAAGAAAGGCAGGCTTGGGCACATACATGTCTGATAGCAACTGGTAGGTAGATGGAGCCATAGGTACTTAAATATCGTTGCTTTTTTCTTTATCTCATTTAATCTGGATAAAATGGAAAAAGGAATGGTAGATTGTTACTGGAAAGTCTGTTAGCAAAAGCTTCATCTCAATAGGATCTGTTTAGTCCTTTGCAAAGCAAATACCAGAGAGCTTCCACAACYGTTCTGACCATACTGTCAGGAGGGAGTGATACTCACTCAGATTCACTTTGTTTAGATAGATGCAYGTTTCTGATCTGTGTTTTAATCATCTATTTTCACTGCTAATACCTGCARTCTATTGTGTGAATAACTTAGAGAAATGATACCCTTTTTATTACAGTTCGCAGATGCGTTTTTTTAAACAGGGAGAAGCTGCTTTTGTTTCAAAGCCTTCATGCTGCTGTATCAGGAGGCCACGTGGTTTCTGTTACAGGGCTCTGTACCTCAACGCTGAGATCACAACTTAACTTCTTCGAATTCGCAGACTGGTCATGGCCGAGGGCAGCGGTG